CACACACACACACACACACACACACACACACACACACACACACACACTCCTCTCGCTATCACCATAGGACCCTCCCCCTCCCACTTAATTCCTTCCATCTGCAGAATCGCTTTGCGCTTTGCGGACAGCCTGCGCTGAGGGGGGCCCCCGGGTTCCTGCCCAAGGAAAGGCTCCCCTTCTCCTCCCCCCATCTCTTGCACTTCTCCTGTTTCTACTCCAGGCTGGCCTCGGCTTTTCTCCCGTCTTCTTCTCCCTGGCTCCAAAGTCAGCTCTTCCTAGTCTCTTGAAGGGGTTCCAGGACCCTGGCCTAGAAGACCCCGAAACCCACATCTTCCTGGAGGAGCCCGCACTAGCCAGTGGCTTCCCAGATTCCGAGGCCTTCATTCACCTCACAACCCCAGAATGGTGTGTGCTGCCCCATATCCTGGGACCCAAGAACCAGGCCCAACCTCTAGGTGCCAACTCAGAGGAACTGACTGCCTTATGGGGACTCAAGTCACCTCCACCTTGTTTGGCCCTGGAGCCATTTAGCCTGGTATTCAAGTGCCAGTAAACGGACTTCTGATGAGCCACCTCACCTCTGCCAACTAGCCTGTGTTCTCTGTAATATGGGAATGACTCTATGCATGCTGGGTATCTGTTGAATGGAAGCCTGAGTTCAGTAAATAGAAGCTGTTTCAAGACAGTCCTTTGTCCCCCAACCAGCCACCAAGCCAGGGTACCTCAGCACATCTGTAGATGCTTGGACTCAGCAGCTTTCAGTGTGACAGAGAGCTAGCCTGTGTCACCAATTCAGAGACCCTTTGATTTCCATGTTTTGAACTAGTTTGCCTATCAAACAATTGGCAGTTACTAATTCAAATGATAACACGTATGCTAATAAAATCCCAACATACGCCGGGCGGTGGTGGCGCACCCCTTTAATCCCAGCACTTGGGAGGCAGAGGCAGGCGGATCTCTGAGTTCGAGAGTTCGAGGCTAGCCTGGTCTACAGAGTGAGTTCCAGGACAGCCAGGGCTACACACAGAGAAACCCTGTTTCAAAAAAACCAAAAAAAAAAAAAAAAAAAAATCCCAACATACTTCTTCATCCAAGATATATCTATAAGCTGGATGTTGTGGAGCATGTCTGAAATCCCAGCATCAGGGAGGCGAGACTTGAGACAGGAAGATCAGAAGTTCAAGTTCCTTGTCTGTGTAGTGAGCTTAATGCTAGCTGGGCTGTAGTGGGTTGGTCTGGTGCTATGTATTCAAATGCTAAATTCTGTACCCCAAGTTTTGGTTGCTTCAAGATGAGCAGACCATCTGTTGTTGTAAAAGCCTTGCCCCCCAAACATTGTAAATTTGGTCTGACGCTGGTATAATGTTGATTGGGTTCCCAAAATCTCATGTAAGATGTTGAAGGTCCCCGCCCCCAGTTGGTTCTGATTGGTAAGTTAAGTTGCTGGCGGCCAATGGCTGGGCAGGGAGACAGAGGCGAGACTTTAGGATTCTAAGGCTAGGGGACCGAGAGCTGAAGAAGATTTAGAACCACCATGCCGGGAAAGGAGTAAGAAGCAGGCCTGAGAGGTGCAGAAGAGAAAGCAAACCAATCATGTAAGAGCTGGGGAAGAGTGCCCCCCCCAATTGGGTCTAGGGCAGCAAAGATGGAATATAGATTTTAGTCAGTAATAATTCAGGAATATTGGAGGGGAGGTGTTAGCCACGTGGAAGTTTAGGAGTGGTTCAGCCATTGAGCTGTTTAAGGCATATTAAAATACAAGGCTGTGTGTGTGTGTGTGTGTGTGTGTGTGTGTGTGTGTGTGTATCTTTCATCTAGGAACCCAGAACACTGGGGTAGGTAGTGAGGAATGCCTGCCACCGCTGAAGCCGCCAGTTGATGTGAATTAATCATCTACTGCTATCGGTGATTGGTTAATAAAGATGCCTACAGCCTGTAGCCAGGCAGAAGAAAGGTACGTGAGGCTTCAGTTCCCAGGCTTGGGATCTGAGTCAAGGACTATTGAGGGAGGAGGGGAGAAGAGAGAAGGAAGTCACCAAGGGTAGGTAGATTGTGAGCACATGGCCTTGAGGGCCAGCCTGTTGGAGGAGAAGCAGTCCAGACAGAACACCACAGGTCATATCTTGGGGATCACCACAAGGAAATAGACAAAATAGCATGGAGGGTTGGTATCCACCCAGCTCTAATGCTTTAAGGCTTATAAATATAAAGGTTTTATGTCTTTTGTTTGGGAACTAAAAATAAGGTAGAAAAGATACCCCTAAATATTACTTACTGCAACATTGTTCTCCATGAGACCCTGTCTCAAACAAAACACCTCAGCATCTCTATATTGTTCAAGAGATTTTGAACTCCTACAAACACAGTTGGATTTGAAACCGCCCTCCTCAGAGTTTATAAAGACAAGTGAGAAGGGCTGGAGAGATGGCTTAGCCATTAAGAGCAAGTATTGCTTTTGCAAAGGACCTAAGTTTGGTTCTCAGTGCCCTTCTCTGCTGGCTCACAACCACAAAAAACTCCAACTCCAAGGACTCTGATGGAAACTTCTGGTCTCTTTAGGCACCTGAACTCAACATGACCATAAACCATACCTCATCACATACTCACACATACATACACATATACAAAGTAAAATAATATCTTTTTACAAAGATGAGTATGTTGGCTCTAATGCTTTGAATTAATCCTGCCCCTCAAATCGGGAATCTGCATGTCCAAACACTGAAGGTCCTTGTCCTCAAGTGGCTTTTGATCCATCATTAAAGAGCCAACTGCCAATGGCTGGGCAGAGAGAGACAGAGGTGGAACTTTTAGATTGGCTTGGGCTAGGAACTGGAAGGAAGGAAGAGAGATTGCCATGTCTCAGAGGGCGACAGATCAGATTTAGAGCTGCAGAAGAAAATTCATCCAAAATGTAGGTGGAAAGGGAAAGCAGCCCAATGGGAGGAGTTGTCCAGAAAGGCATAGAGTTAAAAGGTGTTGAGCCAGGAGTACTGGAGGAGAATGTATGCTAGCCGAGCAGAGGCTTAGAACTGCTCCACCTCTGAGCTAGTTAAGGCATATTTAAAGTTAACTGGTGTGTGTGTGTGTGTGTGTGTCTGTGTCTGTGTCTGTGTCTGTGTGTGTGTCTGTGTGTGTGTGTGTGTGTCTTTCATTTGAGAATCCAGATAGCTCTTGGGCAAGTGTGCATGTGTAACCCATCAGGAGTGTAAAGTGGTTTAACTAATTACAGCTACATAGGTAATATCTTCCAACTGCACAGCAGGCTATTGGGGAGCCCAGAGGAGAGCCTGAGATGCCCAGCAATTCTTAACTTTATTCATCTCCCAGTTTTCTGGATGAAGTCACCCCTTGAAGTCACAAATAATGATATTTCCCCCTAGTATGAATTGCAGAGCCAGACTGCTTTAGAGGTCAGACAGGTAACCACCATTCCCACCTTGAGACTGAGGGTATGACACCTACTTAGAGAGAGACACTGATCTCTTCCTGGCCTCCAGAAGGATTGTGATGCCAGAAAGGTACTTGTTTTAAGCGATGACCTCTGCTTCTTCCCCCTCACCTTGCATTTCCTATCCAAAGCCTGGTGCATGACAAGGGGTTGGTAGGGAAATATTTGGTGGGTTGAGAGACAGGCAGATAGAAGGATAGTAAGATTAGGCTCCTTCAAAGTCTGGTGGCCTCTGTGGGTGTGTATGCCTGTGGTTCCCTCTGTCCTCGGCACATGTTGCTCGACATGTGGGCTCTGTACCCGGTAAATGGTAAGTAAATGTGAGCAACCTATGGGCAGTTTGTTTGGGTAGCAGCTAGCTGGCCTGAGGTCAGCCTCAGATGGCTGCTGGAGACAAATAATACACATTTCCCGAGATAACATGAGCTGTGGGATGGGGCTGTGGGTAGAAATGACCGTAGGGAACCAGAGGGCTGGTACTCAGTCAATAGGCTCGGCCAGACCCCTCCCTGTACCTCCCTGCCCAGACACACACTTTATCAAGAGACAGCATCAAGGCCCAGGCAAGGCAAAGGACTTGCTGGAGTCACACAGTAACTGCTTCTAACCATACCCTGATTCCTTTACTGGTCCCACACTGGCAGCTTTGCCCCAGTTTGGAACTAGAATAAGAGAGAGTGTCCGTGCGAGGCTCCAGTCTCTG